CAAGCCAATTCACTTCGTGAGCTCGGCAACCAGGTTACCGGTATTTTTTTTCTACCTCTGGTTTCTTTTTGGCGGTAATCATACTGGTGGTCGAGTAGATCATGTTATGCGGGGTCGAAAAGCCTCACTGCGCGCAAGGGGAATGATCGCACCACGTTGTGTTAAAAATGGTCAAGCATCCTCGAGGCAGTTACACAGTGCTCACAACTGTCTCTAGAAGTGAAAGCACCAGAAAATAAATTAATTCATACGCAGCTGTCATCCGTACGCAAGGAAGTAAGCCCAAGATGCCGAACACCCTTAGCAGGAGGATGCAGCGCACCCTTCATGCGACTCGCCAAATATCTCACGGCGCTTCGCGCTTGGTGATGTGAGAGTCTGTTCCGGTGAGAACCCGGCGTTGTCCGTCCCGGCTTTGTAGGGATGCGAGGTCAATGGTCTGACGACTACGGCATGCACGACTATGAGTGCACCCCTCCCTCCTCTTTGTCCATTTCTAGCAGCACCAACGCCCCAACGGCCGCGAATGAGGCCCCGCCCACGCGCCCCGCCAACACAACTAATACGTACAACGATAGCGCCCGCAATTGAGAAAAATGTTCTGAAGAACTCAGGCTCACTTTCCGGCGAAAAATATGAAAATAGGGTTGGAAAACATGGCTCAATCTGGGTCTCCCAATAAGAAATGGCTCAATACGAAACAGCGGCGACCGCTGCCCTATTCCACAAGAAACGAGAGGTTACGGGTGAGTGTGTCGTTCAAGAAACACCCCACAGCTTCTCCTATCTCTCGTTCTTTCCCCCCTCTCCCACTACCCCCGTCCCTTCCCATATTGCATTATTAGATGCACNGGGGGGGGGGGGGGGGGGAGTGTGTTTTTTTTTGCGGCGCCCCCTCCGGCCGCCTGCCGGCTCTGGCGTTCTCTGGCGCTCCGGCTCTGGCACAGCACACCAGACAGCGCTGCAAACAACTTTATGCTGTCTGCTACACGGTGTTGGTGTTGCTCTCCGCCAGTCCTCGTGAGGGCAAATCATTTGTTTAATTTGAGCGTTGTGTAATGTAGGCAAGCAGAGAAAATAAGATATTGCCGATTTCGGAAATTCAGCAGGACTTGGCGGCACGAAAAAATAAGAAACTTGACATGAGAAATTGGACGACAGTCGTACCCTGAGTTAATAGCCCACAATAGGAATTCGAGGCTGGACCTGAAATAAGCGTTTCTTAATTGCGGACGCTAACCCTATTTACAGCGTGGCCCCCAAGGAAAAGTGGTGTGCCTCTGATTGGACCTTGCTTCCACCACAGCTACTGCTTCTGATGACAATTGGCCGCGAGGTTTTTCGACGGTAGGTGTCCTGGGCGGCGACCATAAGCTGTCGTTGGTTTCGATGTAAGATCCAATAGCTTTGTGTCTGTCCGTACTACTAGGGTCGACCGCGCAACTGCTGACCAATGTTACGACGCCAGTCACCTCAGTGCGAATGTGTATGAATGGTCCTAGCTGCGGCTGGATGACTGTACCTACATGTATATAAAGAGGTAGACGAGTAGAAGTAATAACCTCGGAAGTGCGTGCACATCTTCTTCGGCTACCGTTCCGGCCGTCAACTTGGAGAAGAGCGCGCTAGCCTCACCCAGATCATGCTGCTTTAGAAGCGGTTCCGGCAACAACCAAGCGTGCCATGTACTGCGTGGAAAATATCAACCATTCGCTGCATCCACAAACAAACGAGACTGACGTCTTTCCGCTGGTCAAGCCGGACAGTGCTGCAGCAGCGGTCGATGCTGATCATCCGTGAATAAACCACATATGGTACATATATATTTCGAAGTACATGATTCACAACCACAAATGTCCGGGTCACACACGAGCAGTTCCCCACTATCCTCCTGCCTGCCGCGCTGGCCTTGGATACGTTGTTGGTACGGGATGGCTCAGAGTGTTCTTTAATGTTGTGTGGTCAGGGGTGAGCGACTATATTCTGCGCGTTCTTTATTTATTACCCTACCGCTCGCTGCGCGTCGCTCGGTAGGCAAGCTTGTCGGTAATATTTGTCGTAGTGTTGTTGTTGTTGTTGTTCTCACATTCGCTCTTTTCAATAGTCCACCAAACTGGGGAGCCAGTGGTCGCAAAAACCCGGCACATACGACGCCGCGGGGAAACAAAACAAAAAAGGGTACAAACCACTCGGAAAAAGAAAACAAAAGGATATATCAAAAGAAAAGAACAGCTACCGCACCGACCGGTCGAGGAAAGAGCCCTCGGAAACCGATCAAGATAAAACAAAACAGACATGAAGATAAGAAGTAGGACGCTTCCAACACCCGCCTAAAAATCAAAGGGCAACGTACACGCACCAGGCACTACGCACCAGGGCATGAGCGTAATGGAGGCAACAGAATTGAGAGGCGGCCGATGCGCAGACAGCCAGATATATAAAAGCAAAAACAACAGCAAAAGGGAGATCAAGATACGCAACAAGGCAGAGTAGGTAGAGAGGACATTTTTGTGCAAGAAAGAAGCACAGCCCAGGGGTCGAAGGCAATCCAAAGGACATACATACTGGAGTATAGAATATAGCCTACAGCAGGGAGGGGAACAGGGCAGCCGGGTAGGTACATGGGCTGGTCGCCCCGGTGGTCTAATGGGTAGCTTGGCAGCCCGTTAGGGGCCAGGTCGTGGGTTCGAGTCCCGACAGAATGAGTTTTCTTCTCGCTTAATAAATCCTGGTCTCCGTTGGAAGCAACGCGCTGCAAAGCTCGTTGTTAGTAAACTTGATCGACTTCGTAAACNTAAGTTTTTTTCTCACTAAATAAATCCTGGTCTAGGATGAAAGCGACGCGCTGCAAAGCTCGTTTGTTAGTAAACCATGATCGACTTCCTTAGTCGCGAGGGAAGGGATTGCTGTACCCTTCTCGCGATAAAAATACCTCAGGCATGAACCGCAGGAGGGGGTCCAATCCCCCCCTCTTATGTGACCCCGGTTGGGTCGTCCAGCTGGTAGAAGTGGAGGATAGGGGCGAGAGGGGCAGACGACAGAGTCCAATGATGGGAGAGACAAAAAACAATTCGCCACAAGTGCTGCCTCGGCCGCCCTACTCGCTTCTACAGCATTGCCTGGTCGCCGTTTCTTCCCCCCCACCGTCGCTTCCAAATCAAGCCGCCCCCCCCGGTGTTTGCCATCGGGACTGGGTTTTCGTCGCTTGGCATTGACGTTGTTGTTGTTGTTGTTGTTGTTTCTCACATTAGCTCTATAGTCCACAAAAAATGGGGAGCCCGTGGTCTCAAAACCCAGCACATACGACGCCGCGAGAAAA